GAGTAAATACTTGACACCTCCTGATTTAGCTTAGGTACTTACATAGTGTCATGAGACTCCTTCTTCCACCCGACGAAACACCAACTTTCACCTTTCGCAGCTTGCGGACTCACAATCATAACGGCTCCGCCTTTATCCCCGCCGTAAGCTTTAACCTCCGACTAGGGCTAAGTCTCCGTTAATCGGAGATAATCATTGAACTGACCGGAGAGGAGATGGAGGGGTGGGAGAGGGGTGGGAGATGAAGAGGGGATTGGGAGGGGGAGAGCAGAGACAGAGAGAAGTTGGGATAAGATGGAATATGACATAATATTATGTGACACATCGTGGTGAAATCAAGAGGTCATTAAAAAAAACAAATAGAAGAAAACATAATTCTTGCGACCGTTTGGCAATTTTCATCGGATATTTCTTTTTTGGGAGCATGGCCTTTTATGCTCTTTTCAAAACAAATTCTCTTCGACTTTTATTGGAGATAAATGGATGTTTTTTTTATCCAATGCAAAACAAATGAACAAGCTTTAAGATGATACCAATAACTCCACTTGTCAATAAAATTGACGAGAGCCTGATTCTACCGCGTCGTGACACAAATATTCTATCTGCTCTATCAAAATTCGTAAGATCAGTTGGAAATGTTGCCTAGACATTCAAAGAGTTGCTTTCGAAAAAGCTTGACATATACTGAAATTAAAAATTTTTCAAGTCAAAGTTCTCAAAAACCAGGTACTGAACAAATAGAACTGTATAAATCTATAGTAACGATACAGAACTTCTGATGTTTTTGAAAACGTAATGAAAAACACATCTAAAGTAACTAATGTGCAAAGTCTTCTTTCTCCCCCCCCCCGTCCCCTCCCTTTTTCTCTCTGTCTCTCTCTCTCTCTCTCTCTCTCTCTCTCTCTCTCTCTCTCTCTCTCTCTCTCTCTCTCTCCCCCCCCCACCCCCCCCCCCAAAAAGCCCCCCTCATTACTTGCAGGAACGCTCCAACTCCGCAAGCTCTGGTGACGTCACAGGTAGTCTCCAGTCAGTTATAGAAAGCAGCTCCCTTGTGCCCCGGAAATCTTGGCAACTGAGCTGCTTTTTGATTGGCCAAGCGCAGAACCATGGCGAGCCGTTGATCTCAGTCAGGTTGCAAATGTCTTCAGGCTCGTGGTGCGGAATGTAGGGTAGGTGGGAGCAGAAGGTCGCTTCGTCAGCCTAAGGGGAGGGGGGTGTGGGGGTGGGGATAGAGATAGATAGATAGATAGATCGATAGACAGATAGAGACTCGGGTAGATAGAGAGATAGATGGATGGATAGATAAATAGAGAGAGAGAGGGAGAGAGAGAGAGAGAGAGAGAGAGAGAGAGAGAGAGAGAGAGAGAGAGAGAGAGAGTGAGGATACAGAAACGATACAAAGGGGACCCCATGGACACAGTTGGACCATCTGGACTTTGTAGATGACTTGGCGCTTCTGTCACACACTCAAGAACAATTGCAAGCAAAGACCACAATTTTAACCCTGTCCGTACGTGGTGTTTTACTCTCGTATCCATACGACGTGGGGAACCCTGTGCCACCACTTTCTAAAAGAAAATTAATCATTAATTCAATCCGTACGCTTTGCGTAGCAGTCTGTCAAGGTCAAAATGACTTTTTTAGAAATACTGAAAGTTTCAAAGAGATCATCGTACAAGAAGAATTCTTAAATGTGAAGAATACATACAACCCAAGGGTACAAAATGACCCCAGGGCGTACGAATAGGGTTAAACAGTCTATCAGAGTCTGTTGGGTTGAGGATCCACCCCGAAAAGTTAGAATAGATGCACTACGAAAGGAGCAGGTCACAATAGAGGGAAATGCATTAGCAGACGTCGAATCCTTCTGCTATCTTGGGAGTATAATTGCCTTGTGTGGGACTCCACAATCTCTGACTCCTTCTCACCGCTGTCCATCACCTCCTCGGCCTCTGCTCCCGGCAGTATCGCCAAGAAGGCAGAAGAGTCCAAAATTAGGAAATATGCAGGCCTCAGCGACCGCTACCACTTCGTCCCAGTGGACGTCGAAACATCTGGAGCTCTCGGCCCCCTGTCCTGACGGCCCAGTTCTTCCAGGAAGTTGGTTGTCGGTTAACAAACGCCACCGGTGACCCACGGGAGGTGAAGTGGTTATTAAAGAGAATCTCTCTGGCGATCGTTAGAGGCAACGCCTTCTCAGTTTTAGCAACCCTACTGACGCACGAGTGATGAATTACCGCTCCGACCGATTGATGGATAGACAGATGGATAGATGGATGAATGGACAGATAGATGGATAGATAGATAGATAGATAGATAGATAGATAGATAGATAGATAGATAGATAGATAGATAGGTAGATAGACGTTGTCCATATGTACAAGACAGACAGCGAGAGAGAGAGAGAGAGAGAGAGAGAGAGAGAGAGAGAGAGAGCAAGAGTGAGGGAGGAAGTAAGACATAGATAGATAGAGAGAGAGTATGTGCATGCATATACGTA